GTTCAATCTCGTAATTGTAGTCTTGCAAAAACATTGCCACACCTAGCCACTCTTCACATTCTTTTTCATCGTCATGGCAAACGCGTTACAGTCCGTGATGATTTTAAACTTTGTTCCCAAGACATATACACGCCATTTCGACAATGCTGCAATGACTGCTAGGACCTCCAGTTCGTATGAGTGATATTTTTCCTACATGACGGAGTGCAACTGACTATGGGCTGGAGCCTTTTGTAGTAGGACTGCACCGAAACCAAACTTTGATGCGTCCGTGTGTATTTCTGTAGCCAATTTCGGGTTATACAGTTTCAAAACCTGCTGCAACTCCCTGAATTCAAATTTTACATCTTTCCTTAACAGATCTCACAAAGGTTTAGCTATGACTGCATATCCATCTACGAACTTCCTAAAGTACGATGTTAAACCAAGGAATCGTTGTATAGCCTATCGATCAGACGGTACGGGAAAGTTTGCTACAGCTTGCGTTTTTTCATTGCTGGGTGTAATCGAACCATTTTCTATAATATAACCAAGAAAATCTTCCCTGCTCTGTAAGATTTGACATTTTGCCCAATTGATTCTCAGCCCATTCTGTTCAGCAACCTCAAGAACTCTCTTTAGTTTTTCTAAACCTTCTACGACATCTTTGCTGGGAATGATAATGTCGTCCATGTAGACAACTGCGTCACCGGTCTTAATGAGTTCTCTGAGAACTGCCATTATGAACCGTGTAAAAACTGCTGGCGAGTTTGAAATGCCGAAGGGCACATACAAGAACTCGTATTGTCCTTTCTGTGTAACAAATGAAGTATACTTTTGCGAGCCAACTTTTACTGGGACATGGAAATACCCGTTGGTTAGATCCAGTGTTGTGAAAATCGTCGCTCCCTGTAACTTCTCTATCACGCTGTCCATTTGTACCATTGGAAAATTGTCCCTCACAATTTTCTCATTCAACTTGCGATAGTCGCAGCACAACCGTTTCTGTCCATTCTTTTTCGCCACGAGTACGATTGGTGAAGCGTACTCTGAAGTACTGGGCTTGATTATCTTTTGTTCTACCTTCTGCTCGGTATAAGCTATACGTCGAACGTGCTGAAATACTGGTGATTCGTCGGTCAGTAAAATTTTCATCTCAACTGGGCAATGAACGTATCTTTTAGGCTTATAGTCCTCTATCATGCGCTTAACAACACTTTGCTGCAAAAATGGCAAATGTGACAACTCTACATCAAGCTTGCTTCCTGTCTGCTCTGAGGCTATCATGCACAAACTCTGAAACTCATTCAGCAATTCCTTGCATGAACTTTGGTCTTTCTTCCCTTTTTGAACCTTCGGATTTGACCCTGAACCAATCTGGTTGTCTGATCTGCGAACGAACTCGGTACCATCCTTTGTCACCTTCATGTCCACCATCTGTAAAATAGTTCTGCCTAAGATTGAGTCAAATGCCATGTCTTCGTCAAATATGACGTGGAATTCTACGTTGAGATTAATGCCATCTATCAATCAGGCTTCCGACAGTCACGATTTGACTCTCCCCGATTCCAGTCAAACATTTTTCACCCCTCTCAAACTCTGATTTTCGAGTTTCAAATAAAAATTTCTGCGCAGCAAGCAAAGATCTGCTTCAGTATCTACTAGACCATTAAAAGTAACTTTACCAAACAAAATGTACTTTAGTCCTCAAGACGTAAAAGTACTTGTTGGCTTTGCCTTCTACCTTAACAAGGTTTCTAGTTTTCTCCTGCTTGGGTACCATTTCGACAGGGCACTGAGCCGCTCTATGTCCTGGCTGGTTGCACCTGAAACATTTATTGTCTCTTTTTGGACAATCTTTCTTCATGTGAGACTCGTCTCCACAGTTGAAACATTTCCTCACCTTGTCAACTACTTTCACTGCCTCTTTCTCACCTTTGTTGAAGTGAGAATCATACCTAGCTTGCTTTGTTGATCCTCGCATCTTCTGATATGCTTCGATCTGAACTTTCAACTGCCTCATAGTCCTGGCTTGGTATAATAAAGCTTTGTTTACCTTGGAGTCTGGAATACCGTCGACAAAGTATTCAATTAGGCTTTCATCGTCTAAGTCTATTGGTTTTGCCAGTTCCATTAATGCATACAAATACTCGTGTAACGATTCATTCTTCTTTTGCTGACGCTTGGCTAGTCTACGATGAACCTCTGCCGATGACACCTTCACACCGAATTCGTCGAGCAATGCGTTTTTAAAGCCCTCCAATCCCGAACATCACGTTGACTTCGAATGAAAAGCTTGGCAGCCCCGCTGAGTAATTGTTTAGCATATATAAAAACCTGCAACTGACTCCAATCGACCGTAAGTGCACACTCTTCAAGTTCCTCGATCCACTGATTGACGTCTGGTGAATTAGTTCCCGAAAACTGTGACACACTCCCTTCTACATCCTTCAATGTAAACCATGACCTACCCGAATTAGGATTTTCAACCACACGGTTCTGCACACCTGCACCTGGATTCTTCCTGCGCTCACCATTCCCACCAGCCTGAACATTATTTGAATGTACGGAAACAAAAGAACCATCTTCTTCCTCATCATCTTCCACTTCGACTTCTTCCTCAATATTATCATCCGAATTCAAACCATAGTGAGCAAGTAGTCTGTTTTGTAATTCTGGTTTCTTTCCATTTCTGTCTAACCCTAGTTCTGTCAATTTTTCGCGTAGATCTGCTACGAGCAGTGCCAAAATCTCGTGTCTGTTCATTTTCAAAACTTAAATGTAATTATATAGATTAAGAATAGAATATGTATATCAAATATAATAGTTATGCTTAAAAAATATAAATGTGTACATCAATACTGCCAACTCGGCCAAAATAAGGCTTTACTCTGCCTGTATAACAAACAGCTGTACGCACTGCTTGAATGTGCGAAAAGAATGCAAGACTATGTAAACTTCAGCTACTGTTAACACAACAGCTCGATTTAAAATTAGAAATACGTTAAATTTCAAATATTTTCATTCGTTCTCCTTCTCGCCTTGTTCTCCTTTTTGCCTTGTTCTCCTTCTCGCCTTGTTCCTCTACCGCCGATTTCTGCCCGCAAAACGTGAATATTTTTGCCACTCACCAGAATTGCGACAGCTTGATTCGACTCACAAATACAACATAAGATTGGTCTCGCTGCCTCACCAACACCGCTCCAGAATATCAATCTCGCTTCAGATTATCTCTCCAGCCACACCGCGTCACCAATACTGCTTCGGAATGGTCTTCTCGCTGATCACCAACACCTTTCGAACTCCTCCCGCCGCCTGGTCACCTGCTTCTCTTGCTATTACCAGCCCTTTGAAACACGGTCTCCTGTCTCCGGTCTCGTGTCTCCTGCACAACTCTTACGATCCGCCTGCTACTGAAACTGCTCCACGCCTTGCTCTTTGTCCAGATGACTCCGCCAACGATCCTGCCTCTTGCTGATTGACGTCCACCACAAAGTTTCTGCGCTGCTCTCAGTTTAACTCGTTGTTCAATCGCCTTCTATGTTGCTCACATCAATCGTCTTGTGTCGGTTTTTCCTCTACTTCTTTTGCGTCGAATTTTGCAATTTCTTTCAATTTGCAACTCTGCCTTCTCGTTCTCACGCACTCTGATTTAGGTTTGTAATTTTCTGTCTCTCTCACTTTGCGCACCTGAATTGTAACGCTTTGAAGCTAGTTCCACCGCTTAGCACAAGGGTTCATACACTTTTAAACACGCAACTTAGTTTAGTGACTATTGTTTGTAATTGATCCAAATATCTCCGGCTGAGCCCCCAAAATTGTGGCCCCGGGATTCCGTTTAATGACGAAGACTCCGGCGACGACGTTGTATTATTATAAATGTTTATTATATTATTGATATTAAGGATTTTGATTACAAGTTCCGTTGTGTTTTCAACTTAAAGTTAACAATGTATTTCGCGCTGCACAGCAATGATATTTCGGCAACTGGTGTGTACGAGATCTTGACACCGACTGAGTTTATTCGATAATCTGAACTCGCTTCTTTTGATCTCGATATATACGTTTCTAGAAGCGTCGACCGCTTCTAGTTTCTCTTTTTAAATGCTCTTCTGGTTTTCCTACATAAATTATGCCAAGGCTGCGACGTGAAAGGAAAACACGTAGGTACAACTGCGACTCTCAGAAACAGAAACATTTTTAGCGGGTATCAGAGGAAAACCACCATGTAAGCTCACTGCTCACAATGCCATATTAAATTGATTTTAGATCACTTAAAGTTCGCACAGAGCGATGGCCAGGACCATAATCAAATATTAATTGCTGTGGGAATTGAGCCGAATAAAACAGAAATATAAAAATAATAAAAACTTGTTTTCCTACCTGGCAGCCTTCGCCGTTACCTTGGGGGCGCAAACAAAATCAAACTTTCTGAGTCACTTGAGTCAAAAGAAAACCAATTTTCGGCATGTTCAAAAACTACTTGAGTACACAAACCTTGGCGTTTCGATGGTCGACGGACTTGAGATTGGGTTTAGGTTCCTGTTGGGGCTCGGTGTTCGGGTTTCGAATTTCACTTCGGCACGGTCCCTCCATTGTCACATTTCTATTATGTGTTTGGGCTGGCCTTTGTTGGCTGGTAAGTATCCATTTATTTGCCGGCCTGTGTGTGTGAAACATTTCAATTTCCTAAAGGACCTGCGGGGCAGCCAAGTTGGAAGGCCGGCCGAGAGTTTGAGCCACATCAAAATAGCCGCCGGCTAGCTTTAAGCATTCCATTAAGGCCAAAGACAAGGCGAAATGTGCCATACATATATTTGTTTTTCATTTTTTCTTCCCTCTGACCTGGCTCGGTGCCAACTCATTCCCAAGCTAAGCAAGGGCCAAGGAAGATGCAGGCCGCAAAAGGAATTTCTGCCACAAAATTAAAAAATATTGTGCGGCTGGAAAGGGTTGCAATTTCCATTTTAATCCTGGCCCGGACTGGATTTTAATATATTCTTTAAATATTTTCATTGCAGTGCGATGTTTTCGACGATATCGACCTATCGGACTTGTGTTATTTCGAGTGCGGCATCAAGAACGTAAATCATAGTTTCCAGGTAAGTCAAACGAGACATAAATCCATTCAGTCATTATTAAACAACGCAAAACCATAAAAATTTAATGTGAAAAGTTTGCCCTTCGAGTTCTGGGCTAAATATTTTATTTACCTCTGGGTATTTTTGCTAATTAGCTTAGCTGCCCATCTGCCGCCCACGAATTACTGCCTATTAATTTGGCAAACTTTTGATAACAATGTGCGAGCACTTGGCCGACCCAGACCCCCGAAATTTTTCCAAGAGGTGTGATAAAGAAAATAAGAATCGGAACGGCGTCTCGCCTTGACTTTGATATCCTGAAGACAGAGAGCAGGAACTTCCTGTTTGTCATTGTCTGGCGTATCACATACACACACCACAGTCAACCAAGGATCTGGCACTCAGAATTTGCTTTTATTTCTATATAGCCAAATAAAAAGGGGAAATAAGAGGGCAACAAAGCAAAAGTCAAACGGAAAACAAAAGAAATCGAAGCAAAATGTTTACATTCAACGCGGGCTGCATGCTAAATTAGCATAAGTAGGCGAACTCCTGCCAGTCGGAGTCCCGAAATATATTCACTCTCCTACATATATATGTAAATTTTCGGCTTCTTCTTCATACACGAATGCGCAACATTCGATGCGGGAAATTAGAGCGTTTATAGGAAATCCTCGGAAAGCGGAATGCTTGGGCCCAGCTTGTTGCTCAATTGCGTGAACCTCGCCAATAATAAAAATCCCCATATATATATAATATCTCTATATAATATAAATAATAAATTTGCCAGCCGAGCGAATAAGGTAGCCCTAACACGGGAAATTGCCAAAAGGCTTTTTCCCTCTTCAGTTTTTTGCAAAAATGTTATTAGCGAGGGCGGTACCCATCATCGTTTTTATTGTCTTCTGCCAGTTGAGTTTCCACTGCTGTTGGCGTGATTCCAAAGTACCCTCGAGCATATATATATCTCTGTATGTAAGGTGTTATCTAAACGAGCGAAGGAGGTGACTCCAAATTTTAGGGGTTGAAAGCCCTACAAGCTAGTCAGCTTTCAGTTGTTGTTAAATACAGAAATTTTTTGTCGCTGTCGGAATAAATAAATTGAAGTGATTTTTTCTTTGTTTTGTCGAATACAAAGTAAATTCAATTTTGTATAAACAAGGACCGCCCACGGGCCGAGAGTCCTGCCAGAAGCAATGCACTCAAAACTCAGCGAGTGCCTGTCAACAATGTCAGTGACACTATAAACCGCAAACAAAAACGTTCCACGTTGCACTCGTCAGCGTCACGAAAATATAACAGCAAATAAGCCAATGAGCGGAACATTCAATAAAAATACGTATAGGAAAACACTTTCGTGGAAAAACCAATTTCCCGTGAAAGGACCATAAAAAGTTTTCCATCAATCTTGATGCACAAAAGTGCAAACGGATCATGTTTGACACTGAAAGCCTTCGCGAATGTGAGCACAGATATGGCAGGAAAACTAGGAGCGCATTCTTTTTTGCATTTTTCCCTGTGAAAAAAATACCTAAATAAGATAATATGATATTTTTTATATTTTTCCCTTCATTTTGCACCACAAACGGTTGGAAAATATTAAAATGATACTAATGAATTTCAAAATTGCACCGTTAAGGTATTTGTAACGATAAAATAATTATTCTAGCAGTCGACTAATTTTGGCTATGAACTTATAAAAGTAATTTAGTTAATATATTTAATTGGTTTATAATTTATCTGTGAACTTAAAGAGACTTCCGAAAAATCCAAAATTGGTAACATGGCCTACACAAGGAAACATGTGACCCCCAAATTGTATGACTCCATTATTAACCTTTTATTTCGACGGTAGCTGTTAAAGCCTTATTTCGTTCAAGATGTCAGCCTTTTAAACAGGCGTTCGGCATCTTGGGCACGTAACCGACATCTTACTTGTGGCCACGTGCCTCGAAACTTTGCAGTTACAAATAAACAATGACAGAAAAGGTTTACTAAGTCTTTGTGCAGTAAGTGGTAAGCGCATTGTGGGCCAATTCCCGACGCAGAGTGTTTCGTGGCTTAAACCGATTGTCGATGTAAGTACTCGGTGTGGTAAAACATGTTGTTTACAGTTTGCATGGAAGCGAAAACAACGTGAGCCCTCTCATCACTTACGAGAGTCTCATAACGTTTAGTGTCCCCGGACCAACTGGGTTCTGCTTCCACTTTCGCTTCATTTAACAAAATCGTATTCTCTCAGTTGGCAACCGTCTTTGTGCATAACTTTTGCCCTTTCGGTCATCAATCTTGGAAAGGTTAATGCAAAACGAAATGGGCTCAGATGGTTCCTTATTCCGTCATTGTTCGGATTCTTCGTTATTGTGTGACTTTCAAAAGGCATTATTCTTTATTCGTTTTGCAGGGCATTATTCCATCCCTGTTTTCAATTACTCGTTTCTGAATTATGTAAGAGATTGATTAGAATAACTGCGGCACTCGAAAGTAGTCCACTGGGAGACTAATTAACGCCAACCACTTGCATATCATCAAGGACCTCAAACTATTCGAATATCGACGACAAAGGACAATCAAGCGTGACAGCAATAATTTACGTACTTCACTTAGCGGGCAATTTTCAAGTGAACCCCCTCCAAAACGTCCCTTCGACCACCAAACTTTCCGGGAATTTGTAATAGCAATCAAGCTGATTGATTGCCTTCGCCACACACATCGTTCGAGGAGGAGCAAGAAGCAGCGGCATCAATTATGCAAGCTGAAACTCGGCTTCTGTTAATTCGCACCACACCACGCGGCGTATGCGTAATGCGCAATTTGAGCTTCTGGCTCGTCCCCCCTGCAAATTGAACAAAATGAACTGCCAGTCATCAGAGCTGCTTCGCCCCCAGAGTTTATTTTGAAAAATAAGCAATTTTCGTCGCTTATCCCAGAACTTAATTGATATCCAAGAACAAGAGCAGTCAACAAAGTTATTCCACAACGTCAAATAATTCCATAATTGAGTTTTCCCCCGCACTGGCTTTCTGTTATTCTTTGGCAAATATCAACGACAGAAATATCAACAATTGTCTAATTGTTTGATCAGATTTGAGCTGATTGGGGCCTCTGAAAAGTTAAATTTTCCCATTTTAAAGTTATAAGGTTAAATGTCATGTGGCACTGCCTGAATAATTAGTGAACTCGGCAGAGAATCCCTGTTTTTGATTCATTAGAAGTTGGCACTTGCAGCCGACTTATTTATAAGTTTCTTGGAAAGTGCTAATCAATACATTAAAGCCAAATACTAGATTTTCAGCTTTTGTTTATTAATTTTATAATTCCCATTATGACACCCATATGTTTTCAAGTTTATTACTTAGCAAGACATTCCTCCGTTGTTTATTATTCAAGCTGAAGCAAACATTATAAAATTAAAGCATGTTGGTTTCCAAGAAACGTCTTCAAAAGAAAAATAAATGAAAGCACACAAAGCAGTGGATTATTAGTTTTCCGTTTTTCTTAAACACCCCTGAGGCGCTCCAACAAGTTGAAAAATATATATTATTTCACATTTGCTTTGTGATGGCGTTAGCCCTGTTCCAGGTAATTGTGACACACCCAGCAGGCTAACGTCTATCCCTCGTCCTTGAACTTTTAGACGTTCCTAAAGAACTCAAAACAGACAGAGCAGTAAAGAATATATAAGTTGCCAGACAAGGAAACCAAATGTGTTAATAGTCTAACCTGACTTTGAATTTGTTTTGTTCCCGTTCGACTTTCGGCTTCTTCCTGGAAAAACTCAAATAAAAGATCTCTCAATCCAAGTAAACACTAAACTTTTCAACAAACATTATAAACAAAGAAAAATCAAAATCGCTGCTTGTAATTCTTCCAAAAAAAAGCCCAGTGTCTCTCACTCTACTCGTGCTTTGACTTTCAAGTGAAAAGACAAAAAAGTAAAGTTAACAAGGAAAAAACAAAGAAAATAATATTTCTGGTCATTATAAGTATAAGCAAAAGCTAATAAATATTCACAGCCTTAAAGACTTACTAGGGCAAAATTCAAAATTTCTTTCCCAAATTAATTTCTGAAAAAAATACATTGTACGGAAGTAGAAGTTTCAACTACACAATTTGGCCAAATGACCGAAGGGAGGTTGTTAATATTTCAAAAGTAATTTTAAAAGTTCTCGCTCGTTTTTTTTGCGGTAACGCATTTCTGTCTCTTTTTTAGAATACTAAGTGTAAGACAGGGAAATACGTACTTTTACTGTTCGTATACTATACACACTAAATGTGAGCCTGGGCAAGACATCCAAACGGTTTTGATGTGCTCGCTGGGGGACAAAGCGGCGTATGCGTAATTTGGCTGTTGCTTTTGCTCCTGCTGCTGCTCCTTGTGGCTCCTTGTCATGAATATTTGGGCGCCACTTCGGTGTTTCCCGTAATGAATTCTGTCATATGTCGACTCGAGTGGGAGCGGCACAGTGGTGCTTAGAAATACTTTAAAGAAATGTGGAATTTTATATTGTACTTTAATTAATAGCATCACAAAAATGTTCTATAGCTAGGCTTATACTACAATTTAATTGTTTAAAGAAAATGCTTTAAACAATATTAACAAAACCCGACTAACAATTTACGTATCTAATATTTACATTATGATTTTCTTTTTCCGTTAATAAAATTAAAAATATTTTTAAAGATTCTGTACTACGATATTATTGATAAAAGCAACTGTTTTTAGTCAAATTATGGTTTTGTCTTATGTAATTAGGTTCTGGTTAAAGCCAGCGTTTTAACAAATTCAAATTCTTTTAAAAGATTATATTTTCTATACTGACATGAATATTTTTTTAAATTAAAATCCCATCCACAGTGCCAGAATCTTAGCGGTTTTGTTTTTGTTTATTTTTGTGATTGGCGTACGCGGCTGGAGAATTTTGAGATGAGACTGAGTCTGCGACTGCGTCTCAAGTCTGCAGCTGAAGGCGATGTACGGTGCACAGCCAACGAATTTAATACGATTACTTGGGTGACGCCTGTCTGCGAGCTTAATGGATAGAATTGCCAATTGCTAAGCTTCAAAATGCTTGAGTCGTCAGAAAACCTCATCCATTTTGGCGAGAACAATCAAGTTAAGGCAGTTTACACAAGAACAAGTCGTTAAACAAAATCAGTTTTGGAATGCAATTTATATTGACTCGCACCATTAATTAAAGTTTCCAGAATTCATGGGCAAGCGAGGGCTGCCATTATTTTGCATATCAAGAGTCATAAATATTTTTATTGATTGTTATGAAATATTGAATAAATTTACGCTTCTGCTTGCTGGAATATTTTTCCGTCAGCAGGAGGTGAAAAAGGACTAGAAGATCCTGCATGTTAACGCCAGTCCTCGCATATTGCCAGGTCCCTGCGGAGCAGGATGGCCAGCGACATCTGTCTGTGCCATTTAATACCGCTGTGTGTCCCGTTTTTACGGTTCTATTTTTTCGCAAGTGGGAGCCCGCTGCGTCCGACGAGCGAAAAATTGCAACCCAACACCGCGAAAGGGTCAACAAAGAGCGAGTCTTGGCAAACAGGAATTTATTACTCTGCAGATTGGTTTTGTCCGCTGATTGGTGAATGCTCAGTGGTGCCAGTCTGTGGCTCATAAAAAGTGAACAGTCACACCAATGAAATATGAAATGGTGATTAAGGGTGGAGGGGACAGCTTATCTAGAATATCCTACAACAAGCTTGTTGTTAAAGGCGATGATGCAATATTTGTCAGGTGGATTGCAACTTATTGAGTTCATTGTACAATTTAAAAAGTATTTAGTTTTGCAATTTAAAAAATTACTTGAATCTAATAATAAGGATCAGTAATAAGCTGTGTTGTCTATCCTGACATTTAAAAAACAGTTTAGATTGACTTGTTAAGTGGACTAAAAGTTGCCACGCAATCGAAATAAAAACACGAGCAGCTGCCGAAAGGTCAGAGATAATTAAAATTCCAGGACCAACTAATTCAGCATCCATCAGGCCACTAAAGCCGCCATCCAAATTGAATTAAAATAAGATTAAAATGACCAATCCAATGGAAAACAAAGTGCAGCTGGCAAAAGTTGCAGTTCAGCTTCCACGAAAGTTCAACAAATTTCCCAGAATTTCCGTGAAGGGGAGGGCAGTTGGCAGTGGGTGGTGGGAGGCCGATCGGCCTTTCGACAAACGAACCGCACGCTCCGGATTTACGCTTAAAAGCAAATCCATGTTGCAGACGTCAAAGTCAGCCGGATGGGTGGAAATCCCCAGCCACCCATCGCCGCCCACGCCGAAAGGCACGTGCATTGGGAATCAGTTAACCATTGCACATTAGGCTAATTGAAAAACAGGATGAGCCCGAAGGCCAGCAAGGAGTGCCAGGATGGATAGTGATGATGACTTTGCGGTTGCGGTTGCACATTAATTGCAGCATTGATTATGCAAACAGGCCGTTGCCTGATCCCTTTGATTGGAAATTCTGGGCCGACAGCCCGGTGCGCAATTGATGCGTTTGAAATGCAATTAGTGCGGCGGTTTTTAGTTTGGTTGACCCCGAGTTATACCTTTCTAGAGCGCTATTTATTGGTGGAGGGATGTCCAAGTGTTTTCACCTCTTTTGCCTCGAGTCGACTCGCCTCGATTGGCCCAAGTTCACTTGGCTGTCACAACAAACCGCACATTGTGCGGCTTATGACATCTCCACCACTGTCCTACCCTTTTGCTGGCCAGAGGTCGAGTCAGCTCATGACATTGGCATGTCAACTGGCCATTGTCAAAGCCCTCCAACTGAGTCGACTGCACTTGCATAACTCGACAGGACAGGAGTTTCGTCCTGGAATGCTTGATTTATGGAGTCATCTGGCACCCTTTGGGGCAGAAAGTTAATTAGAAAATCTCATTTAGCTCGGCCCTTGGAATTGATGCTAAAAAACAAAGTCATAACTTTACCTTGTCTAGACACTTTGCTAGTTCATTAAGTCAATAAAACGCCCTGTTACATTACAACTAGCGAAATGAAAGGGAAACTGGTAAAAAAAAGAGAGCCAAGGATGAATATCGCAGAAGGACATGTGCCCCATAAATTAGGCAAGGCTGGGGCAAACAACGGAGCATCGGAATCATAATCCGCTGAGGTAACTCCGAAGGTCGGCTATATTAGTTTTGTGGGTGGGTTATGGCCACTTCAACGAGCTTACACGGCGGTTTGTCCCACTTACAGGCTTGGCACATGACCCTAAGCCTTCGGCTGGCTCAGATGTCTGCGCATTATCATTAACATGCACAGCATTAGCATATTAATGAGGCCACTAAAATACATAATAAACCCTCATTTGATTACACAACAAATAAGCGGGTCGCGAGTGTACACATCTTCCTGTTGCGGGTTAAGGGCAAATTAGTTTGGCACAAAATTAGCAATCCATAATGGGCAATGGGTTTAAGCTATCATTCTATCAGTGTTGGTAAATGCGAATATTTTATTGTGATCTTCCTTATTTCTTAACTTATACTTACACACAAAAAAAGGATGTTCCCGTAAAATCGATATGGCCATGTAAACCTCATATAGTTTTTACATGAAATACCCTTTTCGACCAGGTCAAATTTACATATCAAATTAAAATTGATCTTAAATAATGTAAAATCGATCTACGTTTCATATCGATTTTTTTTGGTATACTGTAAATAAAATTAATAAGAAATTTGTCGAATTCTCATAATTAAAACTAAAAAAGTGGAGAGAGATAAACCAAGATTGATCTAGATTAGCTTAGCAATTGTATAAAGTTGTCAATTTCTCATCACTTGGCATAACTTGGCATAACCTGGCATAACCACCTCCATAGCAAAATTCTGGAACCGCTAATGATACTTACTTTCCTACCACATTCCGTATACTCTCGCTGCTATGAAGAAAACCCATGTTAGCCAAGGATTTTTTCTTTCTCCACAGATAATCACACCCACTCGATCTCTGGTGCTCTGCGCCGAGTCCCGCCGCGAAATGGAGGACTGGCTGGGCGGCCTGAAGACGGCGACGGCGCCGCAGAGGCCGCGTGGCGACAGCTTCCTGATCGAGCAGCACGACATCCTGTCGAACCACCACCACTGGTACGCCACCTCCCACGCCCGCCCCACCTACTGCAATGTGTGCCGCGACGCCCTGTCCGGGGTCACCTCCCACGGACTCAGCTGCGAGGTGTGCAAGTGCAAGGTGCACAAGCGGTGTGCGGCCAAGTCGATCGCCAACTGCAAGTGGACCACGCTGGCCAGCGTGGGCAAGGACATCATCGAGCAGGCGGATGGCATCATCATGCCGCACCAGTGGATGGAGGGCAACCTCCCGGTGTCCTCCATGTGCGCCGTCTGCAAGAAGACCTGCGGATCGGTGCTGAGGCTCCAGGATTGGAGGTGCCTTTGGTGCCGAGCCACCGTCCACGTGGCCTGTCGTCCCCAGATGGCGGTGGCCTGTCCCATTGGTCCCGCCAAGCTGTCCGTCGTTCCGCCGACCAGTGTCCACTCCATCAGCACCGATGACGCCTGGGATGTGGCCAGTCCCAGGGGCAACTTCTCGCCCCTTCTGGTCTTCGTGAACTCCAAGTCTGGGGACAACCAAGGAGTGAAGTTCCTGCGACGATTCAAGCAGCTGCTGAATCCTGCCCAGGTCTTCGATCTCATCTCCACGGGTCCGAGTCTGGGATTGAGGCTCTTCCGGCACTTTGAGATGTTCCGCATTCTGGTCTGTTCGGGCGACGGATCTGTGGGCTGGGTGCTCAGCGAAATCGATCGCTTCAATATGCACGTGAGTTCTTTTATAATCCTAGCAAATTAAATAATTTTTAAAACCGTTTACTTTCCTACTTTCTATAAAGTAGATAAAAATATAATTAATACAAAATTCTTTTGTTATATTCTTTTAACCCCAACAGAAACAATGTCAGGTGGCGGTGATGCCTTTGGGAACTGGCAACGATCTGGCCAGGGTTTTGGGCTGGGGCTCCAGCTGCGATGACGACACCCACCTGCCGCAGATCCTTGAGCGCTACGAGTCGGCCAGCACCAAGATGTTGGATCGCTGGAGCATCATGGTCTTCGAAAAGGCCATCCCCGTGCCCAAGACGCCCAAGATGTCGATCAGCACCGAGCAGGAAGCGATGCTCACTGGCATGGTGACGTCGGCCAACCACCACCTGCGCTTCATAGTGGAAACCAACGATACCCAGACCCTGATCAGCTCCACCCGGAATCTCTGCGACACCATTGACGATCTGGTGGTCCGCATCTCGGAGCACCACAAGGAGGACGAACAGCTGGCCGTCAAGTGCGACATCCTCAAGCAGAAACTCAACATGCTGCTGGATGCTCTGCAGGAGGAGGAGATTGGAGCCCACAGCGGCGACGATTTGATAGCCACCATCAGGAGTCTCATTGCGAGAAGTATTCCGCTGACACCAGGCTCCAGCGCCTCTCTGCTGTAAGTCATTTCAATGAGCTTCTAATTCTCTAGGAAGATGTAGTCCTGATAGAAAAATAGTTGGATAACGCTAGTTGTTTTCTTCATTTTATTTCTTAATTTCACCTCCGCACATCCAGCAATCCAAACATATCAATCGAAAAGACGGAGAAAGACCAGATTAACACAAAGGAGCGCAGGAACAGTCGGTCCCTTCGTTCCAGCGAGAAGGAGGCTCTCCAGTGCCGTGCCAACAGCGTCAAGCGAGCCATCTACAATGTGGTGGAGCACTCGGAACCGGGACGTCCGAAACGCTATCAGCGGAAGCTATCGATCACACCGTTCGAAGCCCTGAAGTTACCCACCAACACTTCCGGGGAATCGACGCCCTGCAGCTCCCCCTTGCCAATAATCCCACCCATCAATATTATCTCGCCCACGATGGAAACGTCCCGACTTACCTGCATTTCTCCGCTGCCCGATACACGACGAGATTCCGTGGACGAGAGCTTCTTCAACAGCATCAATCTGCCGGCTCCACGGCAATTTGCGGACAGTCGAAGGAGCTCTGGAGTGGAGGTGATCCAGGAGATCGAGGAGGGTGCCAATGGGGAGACCGTCTACCGACGGAGTCGCATGTCCTTGACCGGTGGAGCCAATATCGATGATGCCGGTAATCGTTTGTCACCCAGCAGCGATGGGGGCGACAACACCCCCAACGAGCGCAAAGTCGACTTCTTGAGGGTGCCGATCCACACTGGTGAACCGATCGTTGACCCCCTATCCGACTATCGTCCCCACGAGGTCTTCGAGCGAACCTACTATATGACCCGGGAGATGGATAAGGACAAAGACAAGGAAAAGGAAAAAGAGGTGGAGAATGACAAGGAGAAGGACAAATGTGTGGAGAAGGAGGACAGCATGCCCACCGAGAAGCTGGTTCACACTTGTAACCTGCAGGTACCCGGCGTTGTCGTTACCCCCAACTCCCAAAATGTTTACACAAGCGCCAGCATAACAATCATTGATACCGATGCACAGACCACCACCGTACGTGTCCCATCCTTCGAAGAGATTTATATCCGCGATGACTACCTAATTCTGTTTTATCTTTCCAGGAGCAGTCCTCTTCCGACGATCTGGGTGGCGAGGCCAGCGATGTTCTTTCGGCGATTAGCAATGAGGAGTGCAGCGTGGCCTCCGAAATATTCGACAAGCAGGACGCTGGACAAACCGTGGGGGATATTATTCAGGTGAGACATGAAAGTGATAAAGAGTGGATATCAGTTTCCTTATAGATTGATATGTGTAATATAGGTACGCAAATTTATAAAAATGTCCACCCGGGGGCGCCAAATTTATTATTCCCTCTTCCACTTTCTAGTAATTCGCCTCTTCCTTCTCAAACAGAATATGGACGCTAGCAATTTCACGCATATAGACTCCCCGGAGACCAGTGACGAAACGGAGGCCATGCCCGGCGAGAGCATCATGGACGACATCAGCTCGGTACTGGGACACGATATAACCTATGCCCTGCAGGACAACACTCTGACCGACGACACCACCACTCTCTGCTCGGAGCACGTTGGGCCACCGAAGCCCCCGCGCAAAAAGTCCTTGAGCGCCTTGAGCCGCGCCCAATCCCATCCCCGAAGGCGCAACTCCTCTCCGCCTCGAATCGCGCGATTGGCGCGAATGGACAGCGATGATAATCCCCAGCAATTCGGATTCGAGAATATCGTTTTCGAGATCGACAATCGATGTGACGACCAGAAGATGCGGGAGCCACCGCGCTACTGCAGCCTGGCGCAGTTCGTGGAAGGTAACGATATAGCGCGTCAGAGCTTCAAGGTAGGTATCTCAGCCGATCGGGTTGGGTTAGCCGTATGTCTAGTTTGTATATATGTATCGAGCGTATCTAGAGTTGTTCTGTATGGTTGTCGGCAGTGCTGAGATATGGCCACTTATGGTTAACTCTTTGTTGCTCTACGTTTGCTTCTTTCTTCAACTTTTCTTTTTCGGCTGTTCAATCGAATCAACCAACATCTAACCAAATATTAACCCGTCCAAAATCGAACTAACCAAACTGAAACCAACCCGCAATGTACAAAATCCATCGACTACTAATCAATAAATACAAATCCTGCTCCCGATGAAGCGTCCCAAAAAGCGCATCTCACTGAAAAAACTCAAACCCACTACAACCACTGAAATCGTATCTCAACAGCAGCTAATGCTAGAACAACAACGAAGCGGCGACAACGATAACGACGACCCCGAGGGCCAGCAAACGCCAACGAATAAAGTGGTCAATTTACTGGCCACCACCAGCGAGGACGAGCTGTCCACGCAGACGGCCATCAAAATAGAAATACAAGACGTTGATGCCACTGTGCGCAACATCAACAGCAGCATGAAGGCCAATACGATCTTGGCCACTTCGACATCGCCCACGAAGAAATCGGGCCATGGACAAGATGTAAAGCGCATTACTTTTGATGAGTCGTGTAAGAAAGAATCCTTTGATGATGTAAATCCCAACTATCCACAGATAAGTGTTGTTGTGAGGCCGCCGACGCCGTTGCGCGGCGACTCCATCAAGCCCACGGTCTCGCTCCTGCCGGGCTCCTCCGGCGGAGCCATGGCCGTGTCCATGGGCTGCTCCGGAATGCTGGGGGTGCGGGCCATGAACGCCTCCGAGATCAGGCGCCACTCGAGCCACGCCCCCGGTCTGGCTGTCCGCGAGTTCGACAAGGACAAGGACCGCCGGCACTCTGGCTTCAATCCCAACCAGCTGACGCTCGATCCGGAGCACGCCCGCTTCCTCAGCAGCTCGCCGGCGGCCAGCCGCAGGATCAGCTGCGGCAGCCTCTTCAAGGTGAGTCCACGAGCAAGTCACCTACTGCCAAACGTCTCTCTACAACCAGACCCCGTATTGCACACCTTTAGCTAAAGTGGCACAACACATTTGATTTAGATAGATTTAATATCAATAAAAGGGCATGCCAAAACGTGATTGCTACACCCAGAAAAAAAAATTACCACGTTCCTTAAATTAAGGAACGATGGACTAAAAATGGCTAAATAAGGCTATACATGGACTTAAAAGTTTTCATCCCACATACATTTTAAGTGGCCTTAGGTCCATTTTTAGTCCATGTAGACTTAAAATGTATATGGGATGAAAGTTTTTAAGTCCACGTATAGACTTGTTAGCCATTTTAAAGCCATTATTCCTTAAATCAAGGTCAATGGACTTAAATTAAGGAATTTTGTTTCCTGAGTGTAGTCATCTCAAATAGTTTATTCTTTGATATAATATGCGCCACATTAATAGCAACAAAAAGTAACCATGTTATTACTTCACGAGGTTTCAAAAAAGGATATTTTCTTTGAGTATAAAATGTTATGAAGCTGTCAATTTCGAGTTGTGCTACTTTAGCTAAGAGCGTGCAGTATATTCGATCCAAATTGGCACCGCATCGTCGGCAATGGCGAAGTTCTTGAGTTTCGATTGTGTCAGGCGAGCAATTGGTGTCAAGTGCAAATGCAAGTGCAGAATGCAGCTCTCATACAGCCACACACTAACAACAGCGACTGTAGGTAATGGTTCGTACAAGTAAATCCCAGTCAACCACCAACCACCAGGGAGCTCTATAAAAAATCTGGATTCAGTTCCAGGTACTCACGTACTTTTAGTTTGCAGCTTATACCTACAATATTCATTTGTTTGGAAACATTTCGTACGAGTTTGAATAAAGTTCGGAGAGTTCATTAGAAACGTAAATTGAAAAGCGGTTAGTAATAAACAAATTTTTTGATTATTATAGTTTGGAGTTTTATTTGGTCATACATTAAGTTAAAAGTTGCCGCAAACAAAGTATGGAAAACAATTTTAATTATCTGAAACCGTACAAGGTGGTTCCAATTTGATGTAACGATTTTTATTTTCCACCGATCTCTTGAGTTACCTGAGTTAATTTAGACAGTTAACCGTAATTTGAACCACTACAAAACAAAACCGAATAAAACAACCATGTATATGATTTACAAAAGCACAAAAACAATTGGTACGTATTTCAAAATTCATTCAACTATATGAGCTTTTGATTTAGATATTTTTAAACAACACTGAAACTCCACACTACAAAGACACGCTTAAGCATTTCATTGTAATAAAATATAAATATTCACATATTGTAAATGGATAACATACAAAACTAAACACGATTTTTAAAAGCAAAGTCATTCTAAATACATTTTCTTAGAAGAAAAACCAAAAGATCGCCACGAAGCGCGGCTACGGATTGTTCAGTGTTCGGTTCTTTGTGGTGGCCGAGCCAGATATTCGCCTGGCCACCCTGGCGCTTATCAGGCCGCTGATTCCTCTGGTAAGCCAGTCCAAAAATCCGGGGCGGGATCCTAAGTGCTCGGGCACCGGTCCCTCCCCACTCCCTCTGTTCTGATCCCAAACCGTTTCTGCGTTCCTTCGTTCGTTCGATGTGTAAACTCCCCAGCAAGTCCAACTATCAGGAACTACCGACTAAACGAGTAAATCTTCGGGCTAACCGAAGGGAACCTCTTACAACAGCAAAATTAAACTATCCTTTGATTGCATAAGGGATTCATACAAATATGAATCGTCTTTAACTTAAGTATGTCCATCGAAATGTCCGTCTAACAATTTTATGACGATCCCAATAATACAGATAATTACTATCCAAATTGCCATTGAAAACTATTAGTATATTTTTTAGTTGCAAGGTTGTAATGGGTCTTTAACAGTCTTTAAAATCGATTATCCCTCTGTACAAAGCGTCTATTTAAAGTGCCAGTTGCAGATCCTCAGCACCTGCGTCAGTTCGCTTTTGAGTAGTGTTGCAAAGTAACCAATAAGTAAACAACTCTGTTAACCAACACTTAAACAAAAACAACAGACACACGTAGCCTCTGCTTAAAACCCGACCATCTATGATTTCTATTGTTTTGTTGGTTTTACGTAGTGCGCTGTCTCCTCTGCTCTGTCTTACTCACACTCACTCCGCCTCTGTACCTCTCTCTGTCTCGCTCTGTCCCTCGAAAAGTACTTACCAACCCTGCGCCGTATTTGCAAGTCACCCAAAACTGGCACACTCACCCACACAAAGTCACACTCGATCACATCCACATGTTTCTTTGTATCGTAGTTAGTGCTGACTTTCCGGTTGCTCTTTGACACGTACTCGACTTGTCCTCACTTTGCATTTCCGCGACTGATCAAAGCCTCTCTCTTGCAGCCGAACGAAGCCCTTCCGAATCTGCAGACCCTCAAGGGCTCCAAGTCGAGCTTGTTTATGGGCTCCACTCTATTCGGCTTCGATCACTTAACCTCCGGAGACAAGGATAAGGAAGACAAGGGAGGCAAGGACAAGGATAAAACGCCCACCGAGGAGACCAGTCGCAAGCTGCCCATCATCAATCCCCTGGTGCGACTGCCCAACTGGCCAAGTAAGAACTGTACAACTCTTTTCTCAGTATCCATTAGAGTCCTGCATGCGTACACTTAAACTGACAAGTCAATGTTTAATTTCAGTTAACTTGGATCGCATGTTTTTTCATAAAGAAAAACAAGTGATAATATATAAAATAAATAGAAATAAAATATTTTAGAATCACCGAAATAATTTGCTTATTGATTCTATCACTGCCACTCACTTTTATTCTGTGCTTGCATCACTTGTTTTTCCTTAGGGCTAGTACTCAACCCAACAAAAAGTCGTCCAAAACAAAAACTTCATATGAAACAAAATTTTTTGACGTTGTTTTTCATATGAAGTTTTTTGTTTTGGACGACTTTTTGTTGGGTTGAGTACTAAGCCTTACGAGTGATCAAGTAAAACAAGTGATCCAAGTTAACTCACTTGAACTCACTCACTCTATTTTCAACAATTGACTTGTTTGTCAATTCAAGTGTACTCAGGCAGGACCCTAGTATCCATCAATTTAGATTAGATTAGATTAGATTACATTTCTTTTAACTTTTTAATTTTATGATTTACTATTTTCCCCAGATCTTTCGAATGGTGGTGGCTTTATATCCAAGTGTCTCTTGGCCAATGCCGACACCCTCTGCGCCGCCGTGAGTCCCCTAATGGATCCGGATGAGACCCTTTTGGCCGGCTACCATGAGAAGTGCGTGATGAACAACTACTTTGGCATCGGTATCGATGCCAAGATCTCGCTGGACTTCCACAACAAGCGGGAGGAGCACCCGGAAAAATGTCGCTCCCGGGCTCGCAATTACATGTGGTATGGCGTACTGGGATCCAAGCAGCTCCTGCAGAAGACCTGCAAGAATCTGGAGCAGCGGGTGCAGCTGGAGTGCGATGGTCAGAGAATTCCGCTGCCGGAACTGCAGGGAATCGTGATCCTGAACATACCCAGCTTCATGGGAGGCACCAATTTCTGGGGCAGCAGCAAGAAAGATGACATATTTCTGCCGCCCAGCTTCGATGATCGCGTCCTCGAAGTGGTGGCCGTCTTTGGATCCGTCCAGATGGCCGCCTCGCGACTGATCAATCTGCAACATCATCGGATCGCCCAGTGCCAGAGCGTGCAGATCAACATCCTGGGCGACGAGGAGATACCCATCCAGGTGGACGGCGAGGCCTGGCTGCAGCCTCCGGGAATGATCCGCATCCTGCACAAGAACCGAGTGCAGATGTTGTGCCGGAACAGGAGTTTGGAGCTTTCGCTGAAGAGCTGGCAGGAGAAGCAGCGCCAGCACAGCATCTCCATCCAAAGGGACGCATCTTCGACAGCTTCGGAGCACGCCATCTCCACGGACGAGGTGATCTCCGAACGGGAATGCTACGTGCTCCTCAACTTCATCGAGGCCGTTAGCTCGCTGGTCAAGTGGGTCAAGTTCCTGATTATCTCGCATCCAGCTCTGCAGCACGATCTCTACGAGGTGGCCTGTCGGGCCAGCGAGGCCCTGGAGTCCATCCATCCGCAGGGCAAGCTACTCGAAGGTCCTTCACTGCGCACCAAGTTGGTGGAGGTCATCGACTCTTCGCGACAGCTGTACGACGATGCCTGCACCCTGCTCCGCGATCGAGGCCACAGTTTGATTCTCCGCGAGGATCTGGAGACAAAGCTCAGCGCGGCGTTGGCCAACATGGAGATGGAACTGAAGAAGTGCTCCGTGCAGAAGTGCATCGACGGCAAGCTAAGGGCCTACTTTAATGTTTTGGCGCCCAACGAGGAGGTGAGTTGGAAAATGGTTTGCAAATCTTACAAGTACTATATAAGATTTTTATTCCGCAGTCCGATGGCCGCCGAAAGTCGCGACCCTTCTGGGTGAGACTACGCTCCGGCTCAACCGCCGGGCAGCAGGCGTTTAAGCCACCTTTGACCAACACTCGCGAGGCGGCCAACAACTGGAGCGTGAACGAAGTGGTCACCTGGCTGGAAACGATGCAGCTGTCCGAGTACGTGGACAGCTTCCTAAAGAACGACATTCGCGGCAAGGAGCTGCTCACGCTGGGGAGGCGCGATCTCAAGGATCTGGGCGTGGTCAAAGTGGGCCACGTCAAGCGAATACTGCAGGCCATCAAGGATCTCAGCGAGAACTAGACTTCCCGTTGGGACTTCCTTACCGGCTAGTACAAACAAGTTAGTCTTCGAATCGCGCTCTTAGAGATGAAGGGGGAATATATGGAGATGCGATCAATGGGAATGTTAAGTTAATGCGGGACAAAAATGCATACAACAATCACTAATTTATAGGCTAGCTTAGCTAACAAGACAAATGAAAGGGGGAATGGATTGAGCGAACGAACAAGTAAAATCTTCGAGGAAAGCGACGATAAAACGAAAGATTCTCTTTAAATACCTAACAGACAAATTATCTCGATAAACAACTTTTGATTGGCAGAGAATTGTACATTTTTTCAGCTCCTGGCCATGTAAAATCGAGACAAAAACGAAAAGCACTTACAATTGATTTTTGTTTTTCGTATACGTATGTCAAATTGCAGAAAACTACAATTGGCAGTTAAACGAATTTAAGCGTAGTAGCACATGCGAATACTAAACCAAACCGGTAACTGCAGTTAGATATTAAGTGTTTAACCTTCAACCTACGCTTATATTAAAGAAATTGAATAACCCATTCCCAAGGAAAGCTGATGAATCCAAAAAACAAAGCATATTACCCACTTACCCAATGAAATCGATTCTAAATTTATAAGCAATTTAAATTTTACAAAAAACTAAACCAAAACTGCAGACCCAAACCAATCTAAACAATATATAAATTAAACTTATACATATACCTTAAAGAAGATATTCGAAACTATTTTTAAATGTTTCCCCACTATTGTTAAATCAAAATGATGCTAATGATGTTAATGCAAATACGGGAGCCAACTCTCGTAATTGCAGCAAAGAAAAGTCTGTTAAACGTGTCATTTTTGTGGTAACCAAAAGCAACTCTAACTTGTTTATTTAAATTAATTTAGTTGTTAAGTCCGTGACGTTTTTTCAAAATAAGTTTAGGTTAGAGCCTTGGGGTCTCGGTGCCGGATGCTGGACCCCTGAAAAATTTATTTGGTACTATATACAAGCATATGGTAAAGTCTTAGCTAGCATTGGAACACGGAATTCCGGTGTTCGGAACCTTTTTGGTAATTCTTTTAATTGTTTATATTTAAGCGAACCCAAGTGAAAACCAACCACTTTTATCCAAAACGTTAAAGTGTTAGGAACAAAATTGTGCTAAATTTTTTATAAACGTCAACGTTAAATTTGATCAATTATGTTACTCTCTATCTCTCTTTATAAATACGAACATATAAATATAGCTGCATATGAGTAGGTTTAGCAGTCCACTGATCTAATATGACCTGTATGTTTTGGCCCATCTTCAAATGTTTGCTCAAGTTGCCTCCAGTTGAGTGAGTTTTTGAAATGGCTCTGCAGTAGCCTATAACAAATCTCTTGAGCGACGTCTATAAATTATATTTTTTGATATATAAGTATAAATGAGCCCAGACCAACTCGATTGATTTGTTGTGATTCTACCACGAACTTATTTTCCAACTGCACCAGTAGCAACCCTATCATTTCTAAATACTTTGACACATATTTGAGAAACTACTTACGCTTATGAGTAAACTAGATAAAACATAAAAAACGAGAAATCAATAATTGGAAATCCTTTTTCATAATAAATAAAAAACATAAAAACAATGCTAAAAATTGAAGACACATTTTTTCGAAAAATTTTCGACACATGTATTTTCGAGCAAACTTTAAAGTAATTAAAACCAAAATTTAAAAAAAAACATCATAAGACAATTAAATACATGTATAATTTAAATATTTAATGGATTAATCTGATCGGCAATGCCCATTCTTCATATACCACCTCTAGTCATACCCTTCATTGATTTTTTGTTATTTTTTCAAAAAACTGTGATAACAGCTTTCTACATTCCTGTAATAAAATCTACTAAGATCAACAAAATAATAAATTACGTAATTCGTGAAGTGCAATGGAAAATCAACAAAAGTCTTATAAATAGTTCGTCTACAATCAGCAAATAGGTAATGCCTATGAAAACCATTTACCAGCAATAAATGTTTTACAATATATCTTAATAATGTAATTTCAAACTTCCTACTTCCCAAACCCTAGAAAAAAACTAGCAAATGTAAAAACTGTCTATGCAGAACTATCCAAATAAAAACACAAAACCGATAATACCGTTAAGTGAAAAACAAACCATAAAGCAACAATATTTCCTATTAAACATAATACATCAATTATAATAGAGACATTTTCTTTGAGAAAAGCCTAATACCAGCAATAATAAAAGCAAAACAAAAACAAGACATTTTCGTTTTATTTAAAAAACAAATAGGACGATTTGGGGGAGATACATTTGTACACTCACTTGGGGTTAGCAAATCTATGTTCTGTAACAAAATTTGGTCCTAATTATAAATATGTATAAATTTGTTGGCTCGGAATTTTAGTTTGCCATTTTACAGCTATCTAGAAATCTAGAAATATCAGCGTGTCATAAGAATCTACAATGTATTCAAAAAAATAGAAAAGTTTTTTTACGACCTCTTTATTTTGTCTTTTTGTATTAAAATTAAAACAAAAAATTTATGTAGACACAAATTGAAATATCCTATCGACTTTTTAAAATTTGTTATTGCTTAATAGAATTTAAAATAAAGCAGCCCTAAATATGTAAACATTTCTTAATTTAGAACCTGTGGTGCTACTTTTCGCAACTGTAACTATACACTCATAAAAATTTATTTCAAAAATTTAGAAATATCGCCTTTGAACTTAGAACTTTTCTATATTTAGAGGCAACTTTCTAAAGACAAGAAACAATTTTTGTAGTAGATTAAGATTAAGCTGATTTCCAAATGAAAACAAAGATTTTAAAACGTTTATATGCATTTTTCATTTATTCGATTCATACAATGTTATAATCATTTTACCATCACTTGTTTTTTTCGCTTTCTATTTTATTTTTTCAATTAGTCCTCCGTCATATGATTCGGCCACTTTTTCCAAAGTACATTTATAGTTATATTATATTGTGTTATTTAGCATTTCTATGAAGGCTATTTGGTGTGCCTTTTTATGACAATTCAGAAAAAATTATCAATTGGTTTGTATTGTTATTAATGCATTTCATATGAGGCTTTTTAATTCATTAAAATTGTAGGCGCATTTAGGCGTGAAAGTCAATTTTTAAAATTTGTTGTTTAATTGATTGGTGTCATTTAATATTTTGCTTTGTGGGTGAACCGAAAATGGAAAATTCTTATTGTTTTGACTTTCATATAAGTGTTTATAAAAATCGGTTCTTCCGTTTCATTGTTTTTGAAGAAAAAGCCTTTGTCGTGCGCCTATTTTGGAATCGTTTTGGGGGTATAAGTTGTTAATGTTTTTTCTGTCTTATTAATCATTTCATATCCTTTTGTAAACAAGCTAGAATATATATCAAGTTCGTTCTTAAGTAGATTCATATTAAAGTTGCCTAAAATTTGTTAAGTACGATATTTAAAACTAAATGAGTTCAAGAGTCTACCATTCGGTTGTGTTATTTTTGTTTTTTATCAAACTGTAACTGGAAATATAGTTCTGTTTGTGTATGTGAGTGTGCATTTCCTGTTTGTTTTATTTTTTATTTTTGTATTTTAGAGATTGCCAGAGTTTAGTTAGTTTTGCTTATTATTTATTTCTAACTAATGCAGTTGAATGGATCGAATCGGTGACAATTCTAAGACTGAGCGTAGTAAACAATTTCTGTCAGGGGCACTTCATAATATGCATTATAATTGGTAACTATTTATAAGATTCAGTGATTAACTCATCGATCAACTCATCAACTAACAAACGGGTCCATTCATGAAAAACATATAAAAAATACTCAACTGTTTAATAAATACCATTGAAGTGGCGTTATTTTCCTTCGTAATTTTTTTTGTTTTGTTTATTTGAGTTTTATATTAAAATATATATAGGCAAGCAACAATTAAGCTCAATACTGAAGTTAATCACACAACTTATGGGTAATGAAATTTTAACTTCAGCTTACACGATTTTTTCTTTTCCTGTATTTTCATAGAAAGGTTTAACATTTAAGCATTTCACCTACGCGAAAGAAAAGTTTCTGCTAAACTGAGTTTTAATTGGTATTTAGTTTGTACTGAAACACTGTCTACACTGAGAGATATAAAAAACGAAATCCAACAAAATGCTTGTAAAAATTGCATCAACTTTCTCAAAGCTATGGCCCTTCGGGAAGCATTTGTCATTATCATTTCAGCGCTAACTTTACTCAAAACATAAGTTAATCGATTAGGCCTTTCGCCATTTTGTTTGATCATTTTATTTCCATTTCGGTTTGTCGACCATTTTCACATACACGTAATAGTTATACAAGAAATGTAGGCATGTCTGAAACTAGTTTCACAGCTTTTCAAAGCATAATCTCATTTTTTCGCATATTCTGTGTAGTATTAGTATGTTTTCTGGTGTTTTCTGTTTGGTGTTGCTTTGTTTAACCATCAATTGCCTTAATTTTTATTAGCCAAAATGTATCTTAAATTATACTTAACATCATGTTGTCGTATTTGGTATTTTTCCCTTTTGTAATTCATGTGCAAAATCTATTATCAACTTTTGGTATTTGACGGATCAGCGGTTTAGCTTAGATCACCTTATGCATTACCCAAATATACGGCTTGGTTGCTCAACTAATGAAAGTTACAAAAATGTGAGTATATCTCTTTTCGAATGGCCTCACTTTTTGGACGGGTCTTTGCGGTGATGTTTGTCCCATTTAAATATTTATTTTTTTATGATTGGATGATTTTGAAATATTGCAAAGTTCTCTGGGCTAATTGCAAATTATACAACATTGCTTGGTTTTTTATTCTGTCTGGGTGAGGCAGTGAAAGTGTCTTACATAAATAAATTTTTGGTGTAATGCTCGTGTCGTTGAATGACATTTGGCCTGATTAGATTTGCTTGCAGCACTTTAACTAGGAAACCAAAGGCGAATTTAACTTTGGGATCAAGCCAAGTCTAAACGGGACTCGCCTTACATTCCGATTTCATTACGACATATTTTTCTATCATTAGGATTTAAATTTTGTAGTAGAATGTTTAAAATTAGTAATTTAGACCCAATAGAATTTGGTATTTTAACAAAACATTTTATGGAAAATAGAAACTGTAAATAAAAATTCAATAATAACTTAGACACTTTTTTAATTCTACAGTTTTAAATAAATTGGATCAAGTAAAAGAATCATTGACAATATCAAAGATTAACAAAAAATAATATCCTTTTGAAAAATATTATGATGTATTGGAAAATATAACTTGGAATGGAGAAATGTGTCGCAGTGGAATCAGGCTCTTAGATAGGATAAATGGTGTATATGATTAGGTATTGCATAACGTCTATTACGTATCATAATTGCTTGCTTTCAAGGGCCAACTAACTGCCCGGGGGAATACATTTTGCACTTGAAAAGCACTGAGTACCTGATCTAGGATCTAGGATCTAGGACGCGGAATCTAGACGCTCTCCTCCTTGCTGGCGCTGCTGCCCCAGAATCGATCGAATCGGTCGCGTGCCTTCTCCAGGACCTCGGCGGCGGTTGTCCGGGCGGTGGAGGCCGTGCCCGTCGACGAGGAGGACGACATCGCCGGATCCGGCAGCTGGGACGGCTGATCCTGGGCTGCAATGCATCGCACCGCCCCGCCCGGCTGGCCGGTGGGCGTGGCATGGGGCGTCAGCGTTTTGCCGTAGATCGCGGCACTGGTGGTCGGACTGCTGGTCTTCCAGGCTGGCGGTATGGCAGTGGTCGAGAGGGTGGGGGGAGGGGGAGATAGTTTTGGAAATAGTGTTTCGTTATGTTACGCAAGGATCTACGGTTTCGGGTACGCTATGTGATTGCATTGGCTTGCACAATTTGCTTTTGGCTTGATACAGAGAGAGGGGAACTTTGCTTTATATTTACGCTTATCGAGATTGGCTTGATTTGCTGGTGTGGTTTTTTGGTTTTGGTTTTTGGATTTGAAGAAGTCGGAGTTTGGCTAACGATGATTCGATTTTTCGATTTTTTGATGATGGTTGTGAGTAGCGATACATACATATACATATACAGATACATATATTTAAATACGAGTTAATATATAAATATTTGTAAAAGCGATTTGACTTTTTTTGGTTTTTCTGGTTTGGTTTTTGTTTTGTTTTGTTGACTTCATTTGGTTTTGCTGATGCTTTTGGTATGGAAGTTTTGCGTTTTTTATTGAAGCGTGCTTAATGGCTTACCGTCCATTTTAGCCTGTTCGGTTAGTTGTGGCGGTGCCGATTGTGGTGGCGGTGGGGGCTTCTCCACCGGTGTCGACGCTTTTATCTCGCTCTGAGGTCGGCTGTAGTTCTCCCCTGCGAGAAAAAGTTTATAAGTTAGCCAAAGTACATTTGAGATAGGCCAGTGGTACACTTCGTAGACTTTAGCAGGTAATTTCTGCGCTTTTTAGGGCAATCTTTCCAATTTTTAAAGCATAACCAAACGAAACGTACTACCGCCTTGGATTTACTTTACCATCTTTGACATTCTGCGTAACCGTAAAGGTCTTGCCAGTGTCTAGGGGCACCGTCCAGTTGACTGGATCGGGAGAGCGCATTATGATCTGCTCCGGGGACTTGACCCGGGTCGGTTCTGGTGGGGACTTCACCAGGGGCTCCTCGGGCACTTCCGGCACTGGAGGCTGGGGGCTGCAGCTGGAAATGGAAATGGCAGTCTCACGACCATCCTCGCCATCGTCTGTTGGTTGGGAAAATATCCAAGAACAATTATAAATGGTAATTCCTATTAGTTTTGGGGATTATGCGTTATGAAATTAACTTGATTATAGGCGCATTTTATGTTTGAGTTATTTCATTATGCTGCCGCAGCTGTTGATCTTCATAAATATATTTTTTTGGATTTTTCCTTTTTTCGTTAAGCAAATTTTTGTGTTTGAGTTTTACTGGTTAGTAGTTGTAACATAAAACCGAAATAATGATTTGTATTTGTAAATTAGTTTGTAATCAAAAACTGAAGAAAACTTAGTCAACATAGGTATATTAAGCCAGAAGCTTAAAAGGCAACAAATTGTTAGTAGAATCAAATTAATTTTCATTTTCTCGTAATTCTTTAAAGTTTTATAAAGCGCACAACATGAGAAACAGCATGCCACAAATACACAAACAGACACGCAACATGTAAATGCGAAGAGGAGTAAGAAAACTAATAATATTTTTATGTTTGAATAAATTGGTATTGCTGTAAGAAATTCTGGTGTGGAATTTTTTGGTTATTTATTGTTTGGTGAATGTTTCTGGGCAGGCAACAACCAAGGCGTCGACGACAGCTGGCAGAGATAGTAAGTTGATACCTGGCTCTTGAAATACGCTCCGGAAAATACAAACACTACTCATTTATTTTCAGAGTAATAGATATTTAAGGTTTAGTATTGGAAACAATCTTCCTAATTATGTACGCTTTTTTTTGTCATAATTGTTAAACTAATCCCTAACTATTACCTTTCATATAGGGTTGTAAGATGTTCCAGTTTTTTTATTAGTGTCTGTATTTAAGTGTTTGTTTTTGTAGATTATGTTATGTTTGAAAATAAAAATCAACACGTAGAATCTTAAATGAGCTAGGATAGAAATGCTAACTTTACATATGTACATAAATAAATGAAAACTAGGGTATATAGAGAAGTGGTTCTGAGCTATGAAACACAACGAATATCTACAAATTAGGAGACGAACATGAAAAGGGTATTCAATTACAATTGTTTGTACAGATACATGAATATTGACACACGGCTGATATACAACAATTACAAACATTGATTACAACAACAACTAACATTTAATAACAACGCATTTTGCTCTTTGGGTGTACCCACAATATCCAGCAATTAAGAATTTGGAATTTCATTTTGTACTTTTCCCGGTGATTCTTGTATGGGAGTTCTTGGACAAACGACCAGTGGAATAACGATAATTTCGATACAAATCAAACTACAATTTTGTACAATTTCTAGGACCAATCTATCAATACAATTAATTCCACATGGCTTCGTCAAAACAAAAAAGACACAAACGTTTATCTAATCGATGATGCCAATTGGTAAATCATAAGCTTAATCACTTTCACTAATTGTGGACGAACAGTTGTGACCAAGGTGTAAAATGCTCAATTATTAATAGCGTTTAAAGAGTTCTTTTTGATAGTTTTGGGTTTTACAAAAGTTGCAACACAAACATTACGCGCATCAGATGTCATTTTACAGCATTTTCCGTGTATTTTTTATATTTTTTAATGGGTTTTATTTTTTGTTTAGTTTGGGTTTATTGAAGAGATATTTTTTGTTTTTTTTTTCAAGTTTTCGGTGAAACTTTACTCACTTTCAGCCAATTTTCTATCCTGACCTGGTACCGTGAGCCGTTTGATGTTGATGGTTGCAGGCCGGGTTGGGTTTTGAGCCGATGTTGCTGTTGCTGTCGCTGCTGCAACATCGTGTTGCTGTTGCGGTTGCTGTTGTTGTTGTTGCTTTTGCTGTTGCTGCTGTAGTTGTTGTTGCTTTTGCTTATTCTGCAGATGCTTGACACTATTTGCTTGACTACCGCTACCAGCACCAACATGACTACCATTGCCAATGCAACTACTATTCGATCTATCTTTGTCTTTCTTACGCATTTGCTGTTGCTGCTGTTGTTGTTGTTGTTGGGCGGATGTGGCCGATGGTTTTAGAATTTTGCCGCTGCCGCTCTTGGCTTGTGATGATTGTGATTGATTAGCATGAGGCTGATTAGCGTTTAATGCTGATTTAGCTGCTGATGTTGCTGCGGTTGCTGCTCGGGTTGCTGCTGCTGCTGCAGTTGCTGGCGGCGCTGAGGCTACTCTACCGTTGGGCGGTGGCAGGGAACTACTTTTAATGCGGGATTGGAATGTTGTGGGTAGGGTGGCTATAAGAACGTAAGCAGTTTTCGGTTTTGTTTGTTTTACGATGATTTTTGGTTGTTGTTTTTCAAAGTTTTTTACATTTTTTTTTTACCGAAAACAAAACGCACGTAAAAAAAATTATTAAATGTATTTTCATTAAAATTGTTTTATTTGGTTTGTGACAAGTCGAGAATGCAATCAAAGCAAAAGCTTAAAAATGACCCAACGCAAAAATTCGAAAGAAATGAAGAGCTTAATAAATCAAATATGAAATGCTATTTTAGTGGCGTTCTAACTTTTCTTTGGTTAGTTGTGTTAACAATTTCAAGGAGTTAGTCTACTTAAATCAAACTATCGGTATCATTAATTTGAATCTATCGAAGGGAGAACACATTGTTGGCTTTGAGAACCCAAAATCAGGAACAGGACTTACAGGAAAAACGAAACCCCACCGAAGAAATCAGTACATTAAATGGGTAATTGGTTAGCTTTGCCGCATAAAGTTTATAATATAGATATATGTTACAGATATTCAGGACGTAAGCCAACAAAGTTACACTTAAAGTTAGTAGGAGGAAAACTGAATACAAATTAAAACTGGAACGGATTAGACACAACACTGACTGGAGTTGTTAGTATTACTTTTACTTACTTACAGATAAGTTTAATTGGTTTATTGTTTTAGTTGTTTTGTTAATTGGTTATTGAATTTTGTTAGTAACGGGTCACTCAACATGCTAAACTATAGATTTGTATGTACTCGAAAGACCAATCAAACGCTGCATTACAGAGAGAACAGTGATCGAAACTCAAGTGGGGAACGTATGAGAATAAAAAACTCAAAATGTAACTGCATGACCAGAGACTAAACTAACAGATATTTGAAACCCAAAAGTAAATCGTTTGTCAACTATGATTTTTACTAGTTTCATTAGACACTCAACTAGATGGTCGTTCGAAATACGATTTGGATTTGGAAGAACGTACAAACTGGAGGTGTGATCGTTAAGAACTAACTAAACTAGGAACCAATCCGGCAAATAAAACCAAATGAGGGCAACGAAAACACGAATCGGAACGCAATCTAATTAACACATGACATATGCAAACTAGGACTAAATAAATAAGGCAATGAACGCATCGCATCGTTCTATTAACTGAACAGAGTCGAGTTTTGGGCTTTGGTTGGGGGATTCTTGGATCTGCCTCCTCTAAAATGGCTACTTACATGGGCGTGCCTTGCGTTCGCTTCCGCTTCCGGTTGTCGGCGTCTTTTTACGGCTGCTGGGCGCCTGACTCGCCGACCGGATCTGGCGCTTCGGTGACTCATTCTCAGCAACACCCGGACCCGCCGATTGTGACCGGGCTGAACAGCACGCACATGGACACGCATACGGATGAGGATGGTTCGGTTTTCGGTTTTCGAAATTCGTTTTTCGATTTTTAGTTTTGCATTGCGTTTGATTCGTTATTTTTTTCGATTTTGTTGTATGGTTGGTTGGTGGTGGTGGCGGTTTGATTGATGATAAAAGTACGATTTGTATGTTTTAATTTAAATTCGCATTTAGCTGGAATATTCATATTCGATGTGTTGGGCTGGGTGAGAGCCCTTGCTACTGGTGATATTTGTGTGGGTGTTTCAGGTGAATTATTGTACAAGATTTCGTGGAAATGCTCTACAACTTAAGGTTCCGAAAAAATAGCCGAGACTAAGAATAATTTCAAAATCCGACTTATTGCAGGCCAACATCTTATCAAAAGGACTTAAAAATTGTAATAGAAAATTGGATTTGAATTTTTTTCCACTTAGATGATGTTGTAACCCAACTAGATTGTGTTCTCCTATTTTCAAATATTTACCTAGGACTAATTTATTTTATTAAGTCATGTAATTATAATAACATTAGTCTCACAAAAACCAACTTTGAAAAAAAACTTTAAAAGCTTACTCCAAAGCTAATTCTAAATGTAACGCTGTTTTTTTAGTAAATTATACACCCAAATTATAAACAATGTTAAACTTTTGTAAAGCTAAGCCTTTCGCATAGCAATATACAGCCACTATTCCAACTTATTTACAACCTGGCACACTCAAACATTCATTGTCCCCGTACACCAAAATGATATATATATAAGTAATATGAATGGATGATTATGTGGGATTATCCTTCTCATTTTCTAACTCAATAATGGCTTATGGAGAGAGACTGAGTTATATAGTTCTTAAGTGTCTGCGAAGGGATTCTCTACAAAACGTGTCGTAAGTGAGTAACATGAAATGCAACTCTCAACCGATTTCAAAACACAAACCCTCGATAAAAATGGGCAAATGTATGTAACAAGAAACTACATTAAGAATGTGCACATATCTCATAGCCCAACAAGTCTTCGGTGCACTCGACAAGTAGGAAAATCGAGTCGACTCCTTCGACTCTCTGAGGGAAAAAATGCAAATCAAACGGTTGAAGCAGTTGAGCAAACTATGGCAAAACGGAAATCAAAGGAAACCAAATCAAGTCATTGATAACGGGGCGTATACTTATTGTTGGAGCGTGTACAATTGTTCTGTTCTGTTCCCGAACTTGTAACTCTATTGGTGAGTGCATTTTGTGTACTTGTGTCATTGTTGCTTAGGAGTAAATTTGCTATTCGGATATGGTTAACTTTTGGAATTGAAACCGGAGTATATGCATTCTTTCTGTGTATCTTCTGCTTGGGGGTGGCATAAAAGCGGGCAATTACTCACTTTTGAGGACCTTCTTGGGGCTGCCCTTCTGGGGACTGCCCTTTTGGGGCGATCCGTGCCTGGATAAGGCGGTCTTCTTGGGACTTCCGCGCTGAGATTCCGATTCCCGCTTGGTTATGGCCGGCATCAGTTTCTCGCGCGTCGGCGAGGGCAACAAGGCGCCCTCCTCTACGTCTGAAAACATCGAAGAATTAACCTGGACTACTCCACTTATATTTCAGCTACTCACCCGGACCCGTGGTGCGTTCAAGGTGATGACGGATATTGCTAAAGCGTGCTGGCAGTGCTGAAATCTCATCCTTATTATCAATCAAAAAGGCTTGGCCAGGAACACGTGGCTTTTGGGCCTTCTGCAATGGCGTGGATTTCTTATTGTTCTCCTGTTCCTTCTCCTCCTTTGTAATGGGTCTAACAGAGTGCAACAAAATGATGGATTATGATTTATTTATTTTAAAAAATAATACTAATATAATTTTTGGGAACTTGGACTGATATTGTAAATATCATACCTATGAACAGACGATGCTAGGGAAAGAGCTGAAAGTGAGCTGCGCTTTGAAACCTGATCCCACAGATCCTTTTGTTTCTTGTATAATTCCGGATCGATTTCTATGCCCCAACCGCGACACTGAAATATGATAAATTAAAAGGAAAAATTTAGTTGGAAAGATTACAAAGTAAAAGGGAGTAAAACTATTAAAAAAGGATGTAACAAAAAATATTACAGTTTTTTTTAAATAACTAAAACTAGTACGAGTTATCACTATAAAACCAATGATATGCAATAAATGACATTAAAGAGGTTCTGGAAAACGAAATGAAAAATTGTATATTTTAACTATTCCAAGAAAGCTAAAGTTTTTTCTCAATTTTTCTATTAAATCAATTTATTCAAATTTAAAGAAAACTCGACTGATAAATCACATATCTATGGATATATATATATATTTGTGTACAAATTTTGTATATACAACTACATATTAAAAAAAAAGTAAAAAATAAAAAATATGAATAAATTTAAATTAATGTCGACAATTAATTGCCACAGAACTTAAACTCACCTTGTATTCGCCGGCCTTTTTGCGCAGCTCAACCATCTCCTTGAACCACAAATCCAAATTCGGTTTAGAGTGCGGCGGGGCGGAGCCGTTCATGACCACCACCTGGCCGGATTCGGCGGCCTGCTGCCGGTTGTCCACCTCGTCCTTGAGAACTGCGGCGGCCACGGCGGCGTCTGCGAAGCCGAAGTTCTCCTTTTTCGTGATGAAGTGGTTCAGGCGCTCCTGGTCGATGGCCTGCGAGAAGGGACGCGAGGTGATCTTGCGCTCCACAATGGTCACTTGTCTGCAAGAATCGAGGGAATCGTTAGCTAATCGAAATAGTACTGGCTTCTGAGAGATTCTGAGTTTTCAAAGGGAACTGCTGTGCTTCTCGGTGGCTGCAGCATGCAACACTTGCAACATGCAGGTGCGGATGAATGTGGGTTCTGATAGCTATTCTTATTTATTTGGGTGATGCTGCTCTTTCGGGTGGGCTAATGAAGGACATCACTGACAATGAGAATGGCAGAAGCTATGAGCAAATCAGTTTGAGGGCTAGGTTAATCAAATTTTCATACTTCTCGTGCGTTTTTCTATCATCCGTATCGCTAACCAAGGGCTCCAACTCATGTAGAGTAGCTGAAAGCACACAGATACGAAATTTAATGCTGCAATCCAAGTCGATCGATAGCTTTATACAGATTCTGGCTGATGGCTGATGTCGGGCATCAGTATCAGTATAAGTGGGTACATTAAGATAAGGGAAAGTATAAGTTAATTGTAGAAAATGCAGTAGGAAACTAAAGGCCAAAAAGGTGGAAACAAGGGTTAGGTTTTCTTTTGCAAAGTGTCTCGATTACGCTAAAATTCAACTCAGGGTTAAGGAGAAGGTGATTTCATATTATTATACAGCAAATAAATGAGCCGGAAGCAGCGCCTTGGTGGGGGTGGTATTTCGGGTGTGGTCGGGTGGTTAGTTTGTGGGTGGGTGGTCAGCTTTTACTCAGGTGAGGGAAATGCTAAATGAAAACTTCAAAATGAAAATCAATTTGTGTTTTTGGCATTGAGTTCAGAACCGAAAATGATGTTGAATGCTTTGGTTGAAGCGTGTTTGGTATGGTTTCCTGGTAGTTTCTGGGGATATGTTTGAACAATTTTGGGTAACTTTTGTTTGGAATATAGAACGAAATTCAAACCAATTATTGTATTCTTTTCTTAGATAAAATATGTGTTTACAATTCGAGTTGAATGCAGCGTTGGATATTTTATATTATTTTATTTGTTAGATAACTTATGTTTTTTTTGTAAGCACTACGTCCAATTTGTACACTATGGAAGCTCTTCGCTGGAAGCTCAAGGCGTCGCACAAGGGTTAAAGGCAAGACAAAAGCATTTTGCAATTGAAGCCACTTATTGCCACTGAGATGCAGATGCACTTATCGGTTTAGCGTATAAATAGAGGGTTAAATTTAAATTTATTCTATTTGATTGTCATTTTTTTTTATTGTTCCGTCTCCGTTTGCCTTACCTATGCGCTTTGCTTGAACTGTAAATTTAGTTAGTATTTGAAAAAGTTGTATTTATATCCACTGCCCACAGCCTAAACTAACCCCACACTAAGTTGGCCAATTCACCTAGCCGATGATATGTGAACGATATATAGAGAGTTGATGCCGTGTTGACTGATTGATTAATGGTTGTCTGGTTTAATGCATGACACTATAGTAATTTCGATTGGTTTGTCGTTTCACACATGCAACGAAACTAAGGCAACGTATGCAATAACTCCTACGCTTCGATCGAAATGAAAACGGAATTTATCACACAACCTGCGGCCACAACATGCTCATACTACACTTGGCTATTTTCAATTCATCAATTCGTCACGTAAAATTGCATTGACACAGCATGTGTTAGTGGGTTCCGCATTTCCGATGAGAATGGGCACGAACCGGGAATAATCCCATCAATTTTTGATTGGTCAACGCAATTTTACGCTCGGCAGTAAAAGAAATTGTATTGGTTTAGCACTAATAAACATTAAATTTAGTTCAACACTTACGTCAGCTTTTGGCTAAAAAGATATTCTTGAATATGTATGTTCAACCTTTTAGTTTCGGGTTTAGTTTTTTGTTTTTGGAAAGGAATTTAGCATAATTTCGTTCTATATGAAATAGATTTTGAAGACAGTAAAAGTTTGCTAACTGCTTGAAATCAAAATAATCATTAGTTTACAAAAGCGTTCAACGAAACATTGGCTTGTACGTACGGAAAGAAAGGGGAAATTATATAAAAATGTTCGATATAATTATTCTAGGAAAATATCTATCTTAGTTTTGAGCACTGTAGTATACATATTTATAGGTACGAGTACGAGTATAGAGGTAAGCGAAAAGTTACGACGACGTGTACATAAAAAACTTGATTTGGAATTCGATCGATTGCTTGGTGGCAAATTAGCATTTTTAATATGGCAGCGGTGAGAGGAGAGAAAATCGTTTAGGCTACGTTCATTTACCAACACTATTCAACACTTTTCTATTGATTTTTGGGTTTTTTTTTTTTTTTTGGCTCAATGCTGCTGCCACGGCATAAATTTTCATTTAAAAATCTTGAAAAATAAACAAATCTCAACAGTTACGAAGGTTAGTAAACAAAATGTTACGCAATCTGCCGTGAATTAGTTTGTTAGGTCGGTTAAGTAAAAGAAACGATTAATTAAAAATCAAATGTAAACTCATTTTAGAACGCTCGCTCATTTGGATTGTTTAAAAATTAGTTTTAGTATTACATATAATAGTTGAAAGAAACTATGCGCTAGTAGGAAATGTTTCGTCTGTTTCATAATATTTTTGTTTTTTTTTTTTTTTTGGTTGTTAAGTATGTTAAATAAATGCTTAGCGACGACAATTTGTTGTCGCACCTTCTTTCTGATTTGTTGTACGTTTTTTATGCACCGTTGGCAGGCCGGCACCGCCACCCATCATCGTGTGATGTGTGTGACCATTCTGGGTTTGGGTCAGACTCTGATTCTGGTTTTGGGTGTGACTGTGACTTTGGCCGCCGGACCGAAGGGCGCCCAGCGATATGGACTTTCTCGGATAATCGCCGGCAGCGGCCCTAGACGTCGCCTCGCCGCCGCCCTTAATACGTCGGACAGTGGGCCAAACGAATTGCAGGCGGTACTCAGTGCTCAATTTAGTGATGGTCTTTTTCAATAGCCCATTTGACTCACCCGCCTGCGAAAGAGAAGAGCAGAATCACACAACGAAAAAGGGTTTTTTGGGGGTTGAGGTTTCAGATAAAAATAATGAGAACGAGAACGAGAAAAGAGAACGAGAACGAGAAAAGAAAGCATTGCAATGTCGCATTGAGTGTAAGGATAAGTTTAGATATTTAAATATTAATCATAGTTTAGATTAGTTGGTTTTTATATATTTGTTCGGGTTTTTTATGAGGACGATCAGAGCACAGTTAACATAGAGAAGAAGAGACCGGGTTAGTCATAGGTGGAGAAACAGAGAACGAGAAGAGAAGAAATACACACAATACAAGTATAAATTGTAAATTTTGAACATCTATTACTAATTGTTGTAAGGTTTTAAATTAAAAATAAAACTTAAAATATTTTATAAATAGTTGGTTTTCGAAAAATAGGTAAAGAGTATTATTAAAACTAAAAGTAATAATGTTAAAATTATTCTTTCTTTAGTAAGTAACTCAAGTAGCCTCCCAATATTTTATCTTTATAAGCCCAAACTAACTTTTAAACAAAACGAGTATATTCATAAATAAATCACATGACAGTATTTTAAAAAGTCAAGGGTTAATGGCTCGGATAGCTCTTTCAATACCTACTAATAAATATTACCCAAAAATGTGTGCTATGAAAAATTTAAACCAAGCTAAAAACACCTTTAAACAAATACAAAACCAAATTTAATCTACCCAGGTCTATGTTTTTCGCATTCAATTCCGCATTTCATTCACCCACACAGAGATAGACATAGAGAAAAACTAGCATAAAACCCTTGTTACATGCATTACAAATCACAGACACAATGGCCACAATCAGAACGGCAAAAGATATACTAAGTATTGAAAGTATCAGGGATATTACAAGTGTATGAATGGGCGAAAAAAATCGATATACAACTTATGCAAATGTTGAAGGGTTTTGCAGATTAAAATTTTACATTCAGGTCGAGTAGACGCCTGACTAACTGACATTCGGTCTGACAACTCAATGGTGCTCCTCCGGCACACTCTCTGCAAATGTACAGACACATGCAATCACGCTCATGTGAGTAAATGAAATTTTCCCACAGCCGCAAACGGCGCGACGAACTACAAATGTTCAACAGCATGTCCTGCACAGGGAAAATTGCCAATAAAGGGACCAGAAAAGTTGCAGACAGTGCGACACGGGGCGTATGAGTGCTGCGGGCCCGGGGGAATGGATTTCAGGGGCTGACTGATAGACAGCATCAACGCCAATAGAAATTGTTGCGCGCTCCCCAGTTTCGGTCCAATGGTCCGAGGCGCGTTCTATCTCTGATCGGAAATAGGGGACAGGTTCTATCTCTCTGCTTATTTTTTGCAGCCTTATGTGGCGCCACGAGCCGAAGGCATACAAATCGGACTATTGAACAACGTTCAAAATTATGGCAACTCGTTTGGCATGCACAGCGCTCTTATGCGCGATTTTAAAGATTTTCAGAAGTTTGTATTCAGTTCTTTGAGCTCTTCAAAGTGAGTACTAGGAAATTTCACTATATTAATCAAATTTAAATTTTAGGATGTATTAACAATTCTATTTGATTTTAAGTTTTACTTTAAATTGATTTGAAGTAGATTTATTAATAATACTAAAAAGTAACTTTTAGTAAAGTAAAAAAGTTTGTTTTTAAAGTTAACTAGTTTAAAATATCAGTCCCACTTCTTTTGTATGAAAAAAGAATAGTACTAAAAAATATAGAAAATTTTTATCGCTTAGAATCGATGTCTAATAATGAGGCTTAGTAAGCCCCCAAAATGTCTTAACTCATTTCGGCATGCTGGTGACTTGAAATCCTGAATACACATACATACAGGCGCCCAGGCACGCGAAATGGAAGTGCACACACGAGTATTTGATTTATTTGATTAGGCAATAGACAGTAGACAACTATTGAATTAGACACCCGAGTGCTATGGCTGCCGTGCAGTGCAATCCATCTGACAATTGTGTACCTGTTTTCTTGTGGTTCCGTCGATCTCCGTTGCAATGGGATACGCACGTCCATTGGGCACGACGGGTGGTCCCTCCGATTTGCTGCGGCGCGAAGGTGTGCCGCCCCGCTCCTCCGACTGCAGAGAGACAGAGATGGGGGCATTAAATATATACGGGCTTGTATAGTTAATTAGCTGGTCATTAATATTACGCATACGCCTTGTTGACGTGCGTCAGCAGGTGAAGTCAATTAATTATGTATTGTCAGGGCGCCCATGATAGTATGTCAAAAGCACACTCTCCCAGGCATACCGATGCGCAAACTGGCATTCAGGTCAGCGGCGTGGGAAGGATTTTAGCAAGAGGTATTCAGAGGATTTTATAAATTTAACATTATTCTGTATTTATAAGTATTTATGATTCAAATTTTTTTTTATTTAGATATTTTTGATTCATCGATATTAATAAAAAGAAAACTGCATTATAAATAATTCCAGAACTGACAATATCTTCAATATGTGAAGTTAGGATCTACTAAATATTGCTGAATACTTCTTAAAGTTGATAATATTTAAAAATATTATAGAAACAAAAATTGTAATTTATAGAAAAGAATTTGAATTTTAGTACTTGCACTATTTGTACAGTGGTCCGAGGGGGCTCACTCCCCAAAACCGTACCATCTGCGTACGCCACTGATTTTCGCACACGTATCTCAATGTCCTTGCAACATGTGCCTCTGTGTGCCTCATTATTAATTAGTCTAGCGTTGAGGAGAAGGGGCGTAAAATGAACTAGGAAAGGACCAACCTCATATGGAACTTTTTGTGAACGACTTTTGTGTATTTCCTGCGGCATTTGAGAGCGTCGACATTTTTATGAGGGCCGCGGCTTAAACGCATTAACCCTAATGCCAAACCTCCCGTAAAGGAAACGGCTTTCATAAGCCCATAAATATGCTATATGAGAATATCGCCTTCAAATGAAAACTTTATACTCTTTAAGCCTAATTAAAACAAACAATTTACGCTGAGTAACTTCTAGGTGTACAATTAAATGCTTTACTTTTGGAGTGATTTTAATAGGCAAGTGACGCCAGCTTTTTAAAAGCACGTGACGCTATGAATGAATAAAATATAGAGTATAATAAAAGCCTTGGATTTTTACTACATTTTAGAATGCCAGGGTGCATATCCATTTCCATCACGGTCCTCTTCAAATGTCAAAAGCGCATAAAGTTTGTGTGGACGCAAACTGAAAATACTATTAGATGTGGAGAGCTGACTGAGTCTTTACAATTTTTAGCTCGCTCATGAAGATGTGGAAATGCACAATAATTTTGCATATTTTTTGTGTGGCATCTCAGCTGCAACTGTTTATACATATATGTATGCATGTGAACTTAGATTCAGGTTTTAACAAGGTTACGTGATTGCATTACGCAAATTAAATATGGTTTTATGTTTGGCATTTTCAACGTTATGATTGCTTACACAACATAATACTATTATTCTTTCATGGGTTTAACCCTTTAAAACGATTTTTGTAGAAAAAGAATTTATTGTTTATATTTGATTATCGAGACAAAACGGAAAAATATAAATCAAATTGTATTACTTTGTTAACCACATTTCACCTTTTATAAAAGGCACCTTATGCTATTCATATTTTAAAAGTTTTTAATATTCCTTGCACCTGTCGAAAAGTCAAGGTCATGTAGGTCCTGGAGAAAACCCGATGGGATTTGGATTCAGGGTCTGACACTTACTCTCGCCAAACGATGTGCACTGGCATCTCGGCGTGCATCTGTATATTCCGATCCTATAATAAACTCGTGCGATTTATATGCTAATTCTGGACATTTTTTCCGTCGCGGCAATGGCGGCTCATTTGTCGGTCCTGCAGATGCGCAAATCCAATCGAAAGTCGAGTCAGAACGAGATCAATAAATAAGTCCGTGACAATAAGGCGCAAGACAAATGTCTTCGCAACTCACCAACAAATTGACTTGGGTTTGGGGCTGGCGCCCGTCGCACAACCTCTGGCCGCGAGTTGCCCGTAAATTCATGCCAACGATAAGTGCTCCTATACTCCGAGTGGAGCTGCTGGAAGAAAAGATAAAAGATGCCAATGCGTTAAGTCTAAATTAAGATGTACCAGGAAAAACTAAATATATTGAAAGAAAAAACTATGTTTAAACAAATTTCAGAACTATTAACTAAGTTGAATATAATCACATATGAACAAAACTATAATACGTAAATAAATGTTAGCAATATCATTATTACACAACAAAAAAACACGTCGCGGTCAAATCGATATGCGCATGGTAAATTTCTGGCATTGTACACGCATATTCTTTATAACGAAATCTCTCTCGCGGAGATTCTGTGACTTCGAAAAAGACGGGAAGAAGCAATATGTACAAATTCTCTCAATTCGTTGTTTACATTTTGAGGTGCCCGCATCGATCAACGTTTCATAGCAAGTTTTTTGTGGGTGTAGCATTTGAATTGGGTAGTTATTTATCAGGTTTGTAGTACAATATTTAAAAATTTAATTAAAATATTTAATGTGTAATCAATTGTTGGACAATTTAACAACAATGTGGATTTTGAATTATTTAAGATTTCCCTTTTAAATGGCCTTTCCCGCTAAAACGGACAATGGGCGCAATTTAACATGGATAATAATTACAGCAAAACGCATGACAAATACCACAATCAGACCAACAAAAAGCTAACCACTTCCACATATGGCCACATGTAAATATTTTCATTTGCCATGACCAGACTTTCGGGCCCAGGGCTGTCGGCCAATTGGCCAGTTAGTCAAACAGTTTCGTTCCGGGCTCTCGGCCAAATTGCGGTTTGTCGCATTTCAATGCGGCAATACGTCCACCCACTTTCTCCATTACGACTGCAGCCATTTGATAATTGCGACAATGGCCAGAGAAAAATCTATATTAATGGCCATGTTTTCTACTGCAACAGTTACTCTTACTGCCACTTCAGCAGTTACTGCTTGTGTTATTTTGCGACTTATTTTATGGCCACGACAGCGCGTATCGATCTAAGCCAAGGGACTTGGACATTTCGAGCAGAAGTCGTTGCATGTAAGCTGTAAATTGGGTTAAGCTCTTCCAAACACAAACTGGCTAAGACAGCTGCAACGACAGTCCTGGCCGACAGACAGTTCCAGGACATTCTCGTGGAGCAGCCAAGTCACTCGATTTAATTATGGCCCGACTTGGAGCTCGCCCCCCCTGCCTTCCAAGAATTTACGTTTGTCTACCTGAGCTTAACTTTCATTGTCTCGACGTCGTTTCCTGCTCCACTTTTGTACAATGAAATAATTGCCGGCTGGCACGCAATGTCAAAAGACAGTAAACATTTTATTAATTATTTGTTGTAGCCATTTCCTTGGTTTAATTTTATTTTTAAACGGCTAATTGGGTTTTGTAAGAAGGTTATACACCTAATTATATAAAAAAAGGAAATTCTCTTTCTCTTTACCGATTCAATTATAGACTCCGAAGAACTATGTTTAGCTATATTTTAAAGTATTATAGTACCTATTTAATACAAAATGTTTTTGTTTAAGATTTGTAACATTTTTCTTTAAAGATTTTAAGTTGGTTTGGGTTATTTCTTTGAAATACCTCTCTTTTACTGGACTTTATAAATCTAATTTCCAGTATATCTAAGATAATCGCACACGCACGTCACTAAAGCACTTAATAAATTAAGCCACAATAACTCTCGCATCCCTTATTCTGTCCTGCGAATAGGCTACACCCTTAACCCATAGCCAAACAATGAACCCAGGAGCAATTAACCCAATTGCGGGCAGACCCCTTCAGTCTAGACACACTCCAATATCCGCCGATATGCTTTGCGCCAATTAAAAAGAGCTGTAGAAAATCATTCCTCGACAATCAATAAAGCTCACTTGGCCGGAAAGAATCGAGTGCCACGCCTTCGGCAACGCGATACCTCGACGGCACGCACCTTTTGCATAATTTAGCAGTAAGAGCTCACTTTACTCGAGCCGCTGGAGGAAAGCTGGAACCTACGTGGGTTCGTTTGTCATATGAATTGGCAGTTGATGTCAGGGGCGTCGCCTTCTCGTTCGCACTGCCGAAAGTGTGGTAGGAGTTTCTGCCACGTGGCAGACTCACACCTGTGCTCTTTGTTAGAGTCCATATATGCATATATATTTACGACACAACTTTGAGTACATATCCTGGGCAGCTGCAACAATTTATCATGTCACGGTAGGTGGGTCCCGAAAAAAAGAACTTATATTTTACCAACTGATTTATGCCTGTGCACAGGCTGTGGTGGCCCCATTGATTGCGGTCACCAAATGCAGCCACACCCCAGCATAAATATTTTAATATTATGTATCCGCTTTTTTTTGAGAGTTTATTAAAAATTAATGCCATATGAAATTTTAAATGTTGTGCGGCTTTTGGGGCCAGCAGGGCGAATGTGTGCAGTTTGGGGAAATCATTTTGCCTTAAATTTTCAGCATTCATGCGAGAGAGACAGCAATCCCTCAGCTGGGAGACACTTAGTCTCCGGTGCAGTGATGTTGAAACCCTGATAAGCCTGCTGACATCTCAACTATCCCACAGCTGACAGATGGTCGGGTCGCCAGCATCCTCCGGCTGGTTGGGGTATTTTTAATTAAAATTTTAAATACCGAAGAGTTTACGACTTAAAGGGGTTCAGCCGATGCAGCCAAGTGGTTTTTAATGGAGTTTCTCAGAGGTAAGGGCCATATATTTGCCATCAAAACTTTGTACATAGATCAATGCCCAATTTGTGGCGTCCCTAACTATCCTATAAATAAATGTCCACGTTGCAGACATATTTCTTGTATAGGTTTACCCATATCCGATGCACAGACTGGAGATAAATTTATGGCTTATGGGTGGGAACCGAGTATTTTTCTTAGCTTACTTGCAGGCGTCAGTTGCACCATAATCCGCACACTCACACTAGTTCAAGTCTGTGACCGCACAAGTGTGTGTGGGGGAAATTCGTGTGCGTGTTTAATCTACCCGAAGGGACCTTTCAAGTTTTATGCGGGCAAAACAAGCAAAATGACACCTCGAAGCATAGTTATCGCCTCCGAGATCCTTGTTTTGCGGTCTCATATGTTTGCCAGTGTATTGGTGTAGTCCTTTGAAGTGCCAACCACATTTCTGGGGAACAAGAAAATGTCTTTGTCCAATGCGTTTTGAGGTGAGGTTGGAAAGTTTGTTGAAAATTATGCGGAAGATAGCACCGACCTGTACAGCTATTATATTTTACTAATTTTCTTTGAAATTTTCCATATTTTTTTTAATTTTCATAATCGAAATGTATCAAACCGTTCTAAATTAGTTCAAAATTTAAAGCTCCAAATAAACAAAATGTTACCGATTCGTGCAAAAGTATGTAACAGGGAGAAGGAAGCGTTTCCGACCCTATAATAATTATATATTCTTGATCAGAGTCACTAGCCGAGTCGATATAGCCATGTCTGTCTGTCATCCTGTCCGTCTGTCTGTCTGTCCGTCTGTATGAACGCTGAGATCTCGGAAACTACAATAGCTAGAAGGTTGAGATTTTCCACACCTATTCTTGGGCTTCCTACGCAGCGCAAGTTTATTTCAGCCGGGCGCCACGCCCCCTCTAACGCCCACAATCGCTTACTAACAATTTTAAAATGTGTCTGGCGCCCACACCTTTAAAGATTCGAGAAGTATAAGTGCAATTTTGTTGTGTATATTTATACCTATCGAAATGTAAAGACATTTTTTAAATCGGACCATTCATTAAAAAGTTATACGCAATCAAAATGTTACACAGAAAAAATTATCAAAAGTTTTAGGTGCAAAATAAGGGGTGAAACATTTTAAAAAGTAAAACGCTTCATACAAATTTGTTTTACTTTGCATTTTTCAAACTTTTAATATTTATTTTTAAAACGTTTTTATATGAAAACGGCACCTAAAACGTTGTATAATTTTCTCTGTGTATATGGGCACTTCCAAAATGTCGCTCGGGACATTTGCACACCTTTAAAGTTAAAAAAAAATTGTAAAACAATGGATTTTAATTTTAATTATGGGCTTTTCTTTTCACTCTTCCCAAGCTCTATTTTTGGTAAAAATCTTAATTTTGTACCACTTTTAGTTTTTAAGATATCGGTAAAAAACTGCCGTATTCGCTCGGGACAAAAATAGAAGTGGATTTCGGGGAAGTTCATACAACACCAGAAATTAGCAAATTCTGATGGAATATTTGAATGCGATTTTTTTTAGAATGTTGTTCAAACATGTCGCTGTGAAATGCTTTGGGTTTTACTCAAAAATTCTTTGCCGTTTTTTTTAATGCAGTTTCAACCACATTCGCTCGGGACATGTCGCTCGGGACATTTTTTCCGACTGTTTTGTAAAGCGGATTTCTTTACCTCTATCTCTCAATTGCTGGATGTTTTGCTTTTAACTTAATAGTTTAGCATGTGAATGAAGCATTCAGTACAGAAAATGTCACATATTAGCATTCCTATAGGATAAATTTACAACAGAAGACAGGTCCAAAAAATAACAAAAAAAATAGCCAAAAACTGATTTTTGCGTATATTGGTGGGGTTTGTCATAAAAATAATCAAACTATACTCCAAATTTGTAGTTAAGCTCAGTATCCAACTAATTAGAAACTAATATCGGGGCAAAATCATGTGGAAATATGTTTTATTCAAGTTTCAAGGTTTTTGGCTTGGTGGACTTTTTTTTGGAAGTGCCCATATATCCTTCTCTCTCGCACTCCCTTTAGCTGTGTTACGATTATTAGATAGTCGGGACACCAACCCGTCTATACCGTTCGCACTCCCTTTAGCTGAGTGACGGGTATTAGATAGTCGGGATAGCCAACCCGACTATAGCGTCCTCTCTTGTTAAGTATTATTTTTTATCAAAGTTGTTAAGAATTATAAGAAATTTAAATTTTTGAAGGTCCTAATGTATTTTATTTAATCACACGTTCGCAATAACCTTTTAACAAATATTGAGTTGAAGCTGCATAGCTGTTATGTTATCTTATCTTAAAAC